ATTTTCTTCTTTTTAACTGTAGCAAATGTATTGCCCACTTGGATTCAAGTATTAGAAAGGTGATACCTGCTGGGCTTAAGCAGTTCTGTCTGCATCTAATATGAAGCAATTAGTTTCCAGTATCTACCGCCTCTGTGCAGAGAGTACAGAGTCTAACCCATTCACCATCTCCTGGATGGAAGGAAAAAATACATCACTATGATCCACTCATCAATGGTCCAAAGAAACCTTTCTATTTAGAAATCCCTCCTTTGTCTTCCATCTGTCTGTCTCTCTGTGTGTGTCTGTGTCTCTCTGTGTCTGTCTCTCTGTCTCTCTGTCTCTGTCTCTCTCTGTGTCTCTCTCTGTCTCTGTGTGTCTCTCTCTGTCTCTGTGTGTCTCTCTGTCTCTCTTTCTCTGTCTCTCTCTCTCTCTGCCTCTCTCTCTTCTTCTGGGAAAATGCAACACTAGGTAACATCTGAGGAGCTGAAGGCCACTGCAAAAGTAACTCTTTAAGACAGCGTCAAGTAGAAATATAAAAACCTATCGCCTTTCACTTCCAGCCCCAATTCCTTGACACCTATCATTTCTAGTGTGCATTTCCTCTCTGGTTTGATATGTGATATTCCCACCCCAATGACTCCAGGTACACACAAAGGCAATCAGTCATGCGCACTTCTAAGTTCTTTACTATAAAGGTGGAATTCAGTATGTGTGTGTGGCTTGAAGGTTTTCATAGCACCTCTCAAGGAAGTAAGTGGAAACTCCTGCAAAGCAAACCTGAGACATGGTCTCAACATCAACCCACTAACGTCCATCTGCTCAAAGGAACCAGTATACTAATTCTTTTTCTATGGAGTCTCTCAAATATTCAGAAAGTGTAGGCCTAGGTCGACACCTCAGCTTGCACTTAGCACAACCATGTCCTGTTGCCATGGGTTACAATAAGCGAGTCGCTCAGAGTCCTCCAGACAACTTGAGGAAGATCTTATAGCAATTTCAGAATGAGATATATTCTTAGTAAGTATCCATTTGCAACAATTCAGTACACTAAGTGATGAGATCACAAACTTTACTTATCTCGCTACATAAAAATAGAGAAATGAGGTAAAATAGGTAAACTTCAGAGGTTCTGTTTTCCCATTAGAAAGCATATTGCTCATCACCACTAACCTCCCATTAAATGATCTATACAGAGATACAATCACAGGTCCGGGGGTGAGTAGTTTCAGAATCAGTGTACTATAAACTAGGGTAATTTATGGCCATCACTAAAGTATCTCTAAAAGTCAAACCCCACGACACTTAGAAGTCTTTATGCTAAGTCTTTCCATGTACACACGCTTATATTAAAGTGGCCAGAAGGCATGGTAACTCTGATATTAAGAACAAGAAAAAACAAACATTCTATTGTACCTGCACATTTATTAATTGTACATTCAAGTTGCAATTAGAGTACCGGAAGCATCTCGTTCACATGTCTGGACAAACATATCCATCCAGGAAATGCCAGAATTGGAAGTCAGGCATGAAAAAACGTAGCATCATTCCTACACTATGACTGCTTAAAGAAATGTTCTCAGAGCATGCTTTGGAGGCTTCAATGACAAATGACTTGTTAAATATTCTCTAAATGTTCACCTGAACATCTGAACTGGATAAATACGACCTCTGGCTCAATCAATATCATTTGAACAAACAAGAAAATGAAACACATTTAAGATGTAAAGTTTCCTACTTGGCCAAACATAAAGATGATGGTGTGTCGAGTGGCATGGGCAATTGTATTTCCTCTGCTGTGGGTTTGTTTTCCATTCTGTCAGTGGTTTCTCCTCTTCCTGATCCACTCTCTGCTCCGGGATCCTTCATTCTGGATTAATAATTTAATTTAAAGACGAATGTGCACACAAAGGAAGAGAGGTTTGGATGTGCTCTGAAACTGAGTCCTTCCCTGCATCCACTCATCACTGAAAGTGGAGGCAAAACACTGACAGGTACCATTTTCCACATGGGAAATATGGTGATCTCAGGAAAACTTGACTGTAACAAGGTTTTTTTGGTTTTGGTTTTTTTTTTTTTACAAAATTTTTGAAAATCCATGAAACCCTTTTTTAGCTCAAGAGAAACCACCCACACACATACAAACACACTTTGTTTTCTCATGATCCATGCACCTTTGATGCCAAGTCAAAAATTAAAAGCATAATATAATGAGAAAGCATCTACACAAGCAAGGCAGGCTAGCTTCAATTCCAGTGGGTGCTTTTTAAAGAGCAGCTACTAAACTTACACCTTCCTAGTACGGCTGTCCCTATGTCGGTGGCCCAAAACAAAAGGCCTGACTTTACAGTATTTTCCACATGTTCGGCACCAACGTCCAATTCTAATTTCACACAGAAGTTGCTCATCTTTTTCTGTTCTTTGGCAGGGTCAGAACAGCTTGCTGGTTCTCTGTACTTCCCACTTGGACCAGCTTGGCTTTCAGGAAGCAAGTACCAGAGCCTTAATTATGACCTTTTCATTCTAGTGCCTGGCTAATGCAAACTCAATCAGGTTCGAGAGGAGATGATTACAATAAAAGTTGCATGTTCCTCATAAACTAGAGGAGGGGAAGGGGCTGTCTCCCAAGTTCCCTACAATTAAATGGCAAAGAGGAGGAGGAAAGAGCATCGCAATAATCAGAGAGGGAAGTTTCACTAAAATCAGTCTAGATTTTTTTTTCAAAGATGCATTTATTTATGCCTGCGGCTTATTTGGATTTAAAAATCATGCTGTCTTTACAATACATGTGGTACTTAGAGCTGCAGAAGTCCGATTCTGACGTACGTACAGTCGCCCAGCTTAGAATGCATTTCTGCACAATCCATGGAGATCAATAGACTCAGGAAGCAAATATGTTGATGGATGAGGACGGGTCTGAAAACAAGCAGGTTAAGGTAGCCACGTTGCCGGTTTCATAGTTATTCTCAGGCAGGCAGAACCAAAGGGCTACAAAGGATTCCTCCCTTTTTGTAAAAGGGGTAAAAGGGAAGAGGGGGAAGAAAGGGGCAGGAAAGGAAGGGAAGAGAATGGTGTGGATAGTGAGGAAAAGAAGAAAGAAACAGAGGATGGTGAACAAGAAAGAGGAACCCAAAGAGGGGCGGGGGAGTAGGAAGCAAAGCTATGATGTATGGATGCTAGCCAGCCACCCAGCCAAGTGCTCCATCACCCGCAAGCCTGCATCCCTCCCTCACAGACTCTGGGCTCAGTCTGTAGACTTAGGGCTCCCCCGGTGCTGACAGCCCTCCTCATAACCCCAGTGCAAGCAATGTGTGATGCTCCAAGTAACCCAGAGCATCCAGCCCATCCGAACCCGCCACTCCCTGGACCTTACTTACCACCCCATTCCCCCACCCCACCCCCCGACTTCTCCTTGGCACCCCCCATCACTAGTCTCAGGGTAAGGGGGGGGGAGCCTAGAAGAGAGCAGCATGGGGGGGGTCAAAAACAGGGAGCGAGTAGAGGAAGCAATCAAAATAATTTTTAAATAATGTGATAATAGATGCCGGGGAAGTGCCAGGGGAGGGTGCCCATGGCAAGCACCTGGGTAGCACAGCACGCTGTTGCAAATCCCCCAGGCTGCGTGGGGCTGGGCGATTTTCCACAAAAGGAACTTTGCAAGAAGCGCAGCGGTTTTGCAAAAGGCGAGGAGGAGAGGAGGAGGTCGCAGCCGCGTTTACCTGGCCGAGGTCAACACCAACACCGCCGCCGCCGCCGCCGCCGCCGCCGCCGCCGCCGCCAGTGGCGGGCCCGCCGAAATCCTCAGGTTCTGCGGGTCCCGAAGCCACACTTGCTCGGGTTACTATGGAAATGGTCTCGGGGAGGAGGACGCCGCGGGGACGGCACGAGCCGGGGACATCGTCGTCGTCGTCGGCCGGCCACACCGAGCGGGCGCGGGACCGGGGCGCGGCGCCTCTCTCCCCCACCGCCCCGGCCCGGCTCGCTCTTTTCTTTCCGCTCTCTCGGCCGGGCCGCGCCTCCCCGCCCCGCGCCGCCGCCGCCGCCGCCGCCGCCGCCGCCGCCGAGCAGCCCGCGGGCCGAGCCGAGCCGAGCCGAGCCGAGCGAGCGAGCCGAGCCCTCGCCGCCGCCGCCGCCGCCGCCGCGCGCAGCCGGCACCCGAAGGAAGCGCGAGCTCGCAGCAGCAGCAGCAAAAGCAAAAGCAGCAGCAGCAGCAGCAAAAGCAGCAGCAGCAGCAGCCCGGCCTGGGCGGCGAGCGGCGCTGTTTCCCAGCCGCGCAGCTGGGATTTAAAGAGACAGACGACGCGTGTCTCGGGGCTCCAAGGGTTCCTGAGCCCGGGAGGGGAGTCCCGCCGCTCGCTCGCTCGCTTGCTCGCCCAAGGTCCGTCCCTCCCACCCCCACCCCCAACCGCCACCACTACCCCGCCAGAGCCCAAATCAACCCCAGCCCGCTCCGGGGCGAGCAAAGTTTCCTGCGGAGACGACCCCCTGAGAATTGCGCGAGGACCCGCCTCGGCGGCCACCTCTCCTGACTGCAGAGGAGAGTAAGGGATTTTTTTTTTTTCTTCATCTTCCCTCCCTCGGAGACTAAGGGGGAAATGATTTGTATGCTCAACAAGTCCTGCACCTATTTTCAGCCGCTCTCGCTTCCGTCCTTGGGCACTGACTTTTTTTTCACTGAAAGCACACAGGCCAAGGAGGGTGGGGAGTCGGGGGAAAGGGTGTTGGGGGGGGGGGGGGGGGCTCTTCGTTTCCTGTCAGACTCCAAGCAGAGATGCGTGGTTTAGCGGGGAAGGTGGTGGTGGGAAGATATTGCTGTCAACTATCTTGGATTTTTTCCCCCCTTCCTCTTCCACCTAACATAGCATCTCCTCTTCTCTCCCCTCCCAGGCCTGGAGAACGTGCTTAGAGGTACGTTCCAGACACTACCCCAACATTACATCCGAAGACTCACCTTTCTCTAAGCGCCTTTTCCTTACACCTAGGAACACAAGAATTGGGGGGGGGGGGGGGCGGGAGGGAGTGGGTAACAGAAAGAAGACACCAGCGTGACCCATTTCCTTCTACCCTAACTCAAAGCCAGTTGAGCTCTTAGTGAGCAGCACTACCGACGTTGCCCATACCATACGTCGGGGACAGAATGGGATGAGCAACGAGCAACATGCGTGCTTTGCTTCTACCACGCGCACATGTAGAACCAGACAAATTACAACCCACCAGGTTTGTTTCCTCTGCTAACGATCAGTTCTCACCGCTTTATACGCGACCCAGGAGCTTTGTGGAACCAATGCAACCCAAACTTTCCCCCTGGTGGACCGGCAGAAAGAGAACTCTCTTGAGATACTCGGGGTAGTAGATGCTTCTTCATAAATACCGAGGGTACTCTATAACTGGGTTGATAGAAAGTGTCCTTGGGAGGGGCGAACCAATATCTAGATTATCAACACCTGGCAAGCAGGATTTACACATTATCCCTCTTTCAGTCTTAGACTTTATAAATTTCATGAGCTGTGAACATGGCAAGGGAGAGATACCTTCTCATGCCAGGCTCTTAAGTTTTCCTCTTGTACCTCACTATCCACTCACACCCAAAACTCACACCTCACCATCCAGCCTTCATGATCTGTGTTCTTCATTTACCTCTCGCCAGGAGTAAACCTTTCAGACAAAGAAATGTGGCCTTCCAGGTTCCTACTCCCTTCAAGAAAGTGAGCAAGTGCTTATTATGATAGGGGACAGTGGCTAACAAAATAGCATCCTGATAAAACACAGAAAATACTGTAACAAAATACCTGAGACCCCATAACACGTCAACCACATCATGTTACTACTCACAGTTCTGGGCTAGGGAGTCCACCATCTAGACTTGCCAGCAGGTTTAGAATCAGATGAAGGACTGGTTTCTATCTCGGGTGATGTTTTGACTGTTTCTTCCTCACGAGGGAAAGTGCTTATGTGCTGGAACATCTCTTGTCTAAGAACTTGATTCTGTTCACCAGAGAAGAACCTTCATCATGTTATCAGCACCTCAGGCCTCTACCTGTCGATGCCCTGGTACTGGTTCAGGTTTCACCATGAAGCCTGGAGGGACATGAGCATTCAAGGCCACCATGAACTGCTCTCAAACCCTAGCATGGCACATTACCTGCAAATTTAAGCAAAGATTCAGGAGTTCTCAGGACCAATGTACCATGTTCTGTGAATCTAGGTAACCCATAAGCATTTATGTTTCCAACCTGATGTTCATTTTGCTGGTGGAGAACTGCACTTTGGGAAATGGAGGGGGGTGGGGGAGGAGCTTTTCTGCTCTTGGTTCTTTTGCCTCTTCACGCCTCACACCTGCCCAGCAACTCCAGCAGGTGAACAATACTACCTGTGCTATGGTTTGTCATTCAGGACACATTCACGCCCTCCTTCCCAGCCGCAGCCCTCTGCCAGGAATACTCCCCTCCGCCAAGCTTGGTTCTGTCTCTCCACCACTGTATCCAGCTAACTTTTCCTCATCTCCTAAGAGGATGCTTCCTCAGCATCTTCACCAAATACCTGCAGGACCCACACCTAAATTTGGGTGCCACTCCCCTGTGACGTCTCTGTGCCCACCTGTCACACGTTAGGCACTGTAATAAGATGCTTATTTATCTCCCTAGACTGTATGCATGCTGACAGGAGCCTATATTGCCCCCTTATCCAAGTGCCCAACCCCTAACTCAGTGGGTGGGACACAGCCGCTAGAATGAGAAAGTAGAGGAAGAGAGACTAATCTTTGGTGGTTGATGTGGAACACATTGCTAACCAAAGTCAAAACTAGTAATAATGTTAGGAAGGGCAGGGAGTTGAAGAGGACATCAGTGCCTCTGAACTGCTAGTACATATCAGGTAGGGGTAAAATGCTCGGCAGGTTATCTGTGCGTTCCTCCAAACTTCTTTGCAAGGTAATTATATCTGAGAAAGCTAAGGCCTGAAAGTTAAGTAGCTTGTTCGGTGTCTCTTGGCTGCTAAGGAGGTGGAGGTGGAGCAATAACCTTTATAATAAGCAGGTGGTTTTTCCATAGGCGTGACGTGAGATGTGACGTCTGTTCGTATTCATGAGTGTCTCATGACTTTAATTCATGCCACTTAAGCTCTGCCACCCTACCCAGAAAGGGTCTGCTGTGGTGGGTAGCTTGCATCCTGGGGTGGAAGGCTCTGTGATTTCATGGCAGTTCCCTGACTCAACAGTCTTGTGCTGTCGACTCTTCCCAGGCTCACGGAAGGGGTGCCTGGGGCTGCTGCTTGTAATTTCTGTGCAGTCCTGCTCTACCTGGGTTCCAGATCCTGAATACAGTGGAACTTTCTGGGCCAATCAGACCAGACAGGTAAATCACTACTCTAGAGATGGGGCCAGTGGACTTTGCTCATCTGTTTCCACTGTGCTACACTTGACTGAACAGAGAGTGCTATTACCTAGGGCAATAATCTGCAAATCAATTAAAAGGATAAGAAATGAAATGATTTGTACTCCCTTTACGCATTTGCCCAAATAAGAAAAATACATACATTGTCAACGAAAGTGAATTTGGTTGGAAATAAATGACATTTATAGCATTTATAGCCATGGATGATGGAGTTTAATTCAGAATTTAGATAACTTACTCCAAAATTACAAACTCATAGATATTAAGCATCATTTCATTTAAATATGGAGCCTGTATGATGACTATGGAATAAATCAATGTAGAAGCTTTCTTTCCTTGAGTGTGGTACCCTTTACAGAGGAGACTAGAATAACATAATGTGCTTACAGCTGCATGAGATATTTAGGGTAGCAGTTCTTAACCTTACAGCATATTAGAATCACTTGGGGAGCTCTCAGGCTCAGAATGCACAGGTTCCATCTCAAACCAATTATATTCGAACCTCTGGGATTTGAAATCTAGGCATCAAGGTTTTTCAAGCTTGCCAGGTGGTTCTAATGGGAGCTCCAGATGGAGGGCCACTTCTTCAGTGCTAATCTCTCGTGGCATCCACACCTAGCTGCTCATTAGTATCACCTGGGAAATAGTAAAGATTCTCAGGTCCACACCCACAGGCAGAGGTTCTGAGTTGTTCATCCTTGATATAGTTAAGGTTCAATGAGGCTGATGTTGAATCAGGGTTGGAAAATCACTGTCTCAAGCCAATGCTTCTCAAAGCAGAGTCCCAGAACAGCAGCATAGTATGACTGGGAGATGTGTTAAAGGTGGTCCTCCTCACTCCCACTCCAGATCTGCAGGGGATGGGGTGGGGGGCGTCCGTCAATCCACAATTCCACAAGCCCTCTTGATCACTCCAAGGCACAGCAAATTTGGGAACCAATGATTTACAACATAGCATTAGTGATAGTATCCTCCACCAGTTTGAGAGCCAACATGACCCGTCAGCAAACACCCACCATCCTCCACTAGAGACTCTATCATTCCTGACATGTTTCCGGATATTGCTGATGCTGCAGGCCCTAAAAGCCCAGTTTGAGAAACTCTGTTCCATAATGTCTTGGGCTCTAGAATTAATACTAAGGAATCTAAAAATAGTTTTCTTTTGTAAAGGAATCTATCCCAACATAGAGGAGCCGCTCTGTCAAGAAAATAGCTTTCGGGGCTTGCAAGACAGCCTCGGCAGATAAGGGCACTTGCCTGCAACTTTACCAACCTGGGTTAAATGTTGGGGCCCACACACTGACTTCTGTAAGTTTTCCCATGAGCTCCGCAAGTGCACACATACAGTAAAGAAATCACTGGAAATGTGTAGCGAGTGAGAGACTTCGACACACTCAGCGCTAAACAGGGTGTCTTCTGCTTAACTATCACATCCCTCTGCTAAAGTTTCCTGGAGCTGTATAGAAGAGGAAGGGAGCCAGAGATGGTGGACAAGTCCACGGACACAGCAGGATTGAGGCACATATGAACTCAGAGACTTGGGACAGCGCATACTAAATAAGCCCAAACCAGATGAAATCCCAGCACCAAAGAAGGGAAGTGGACACAAAGTCCCACCCCTAACCGAGATGCTAATTCCAACTGATAGCTTCCAGGAGAGGGAAATTCTGTTTTCTTCAATGGAGTGACTTTGGGTATATCAAACACTCTAGGGGCAGGCTGCCTGCTCAGGGATAGTTGGCCAACACAAAACAAACGGCATGAGTTGTTTTGGGTTTTTTGTTGTTGTTGTTGCTGTTTGTTTTTTAAGAGAGAGAAGGAAATGAAGTTGGGTAGATTTGGGGAAAGAGTATGATCGAAATATGCTGTATGAAAATTTTTAAATGAATAACTGTTAAAAAACAGATTTTTAAAAACATTTTAATCTTAGTTTGTGTGTATCAGTGTTTTGCCTGTGTGGTTATATGTCCACTACCCTCATGGAAATCAGAAAAAGGCATCAGATCTCCTGGAACTGGAATTACGGATGGTTGTGAGACACAGTGTGGGTGCTGAGGACTGAACCTGGTCCTCTGCAAGAGCAGCAAGTGACCTTCACCACTGAGCCATCTCTTCAGCCCCGAGAGGAGCTTTTAAGAAGAAAACTCTTGTACCTAATTCCCCACAAAGTGAGGATGTAGACGGATTCTGTAGGTGTGCGCATGATATACCTCTGATTGAGGAAGTAGGAGTGTTGGCCTGCGCAACTGAAAGTCCTGGGGACCTGAGACCTGAGTCAGTTGTGAAGAGCTTCTTAGCGGCACTAGATTGCAAGAAAACCTCAGAAAAAGACATGAACCCTCTTCTCCTCAAACCAAACCACTTGAAGGCTTGAGGAGAGAGCTAATCAAGTTTGTGTTTTCTGGCTGCACACACGAGCCCCACCTGCCTTCCGGTGCTTTCCTGCGCGCAGCTGCTCTAAGGAAAAGGAAAAAAAAAAAAAAAAAATGCTTCTTCTCGAAAGGCAATTGCTTTTCTTCTTGATGACTTAGAGTGAGAGAAGCTATGTAAACCCCATCTGTCCTGAACTAACAAATGTTAAGAGGACCCTTGGTTCCCCACAGGCCGGGCTTCATTCCAGCGGAAGGAGCGTGGAAGAAGATCACTGTGTCGCTAATCTTCGCCTTTAGTCAGAGAGCCAAAGAGAACTCTGAGTGAGCCAGATTGCTCAAAAGAAGACACCCCAGACCGTGAAATCTCCTTTCATCCTTTCAACTGCTTGAATTGATTTCAGGCCTCTAACCTGGATCCTTGAAGGAGGACCTGTCAGGCTTCTTCCTTACAGGGCATGAGACCCAGCCTCTACTCGCCATCGCTTTGAGAAGTCTTCAGACAAGACTGCTAAACTGCATTTTCTTCCTGAGACTTCTTTGGGAATCAATGGAATTTCTGTTTCAAGAGATGGGAGCACCAAGGAAAAGAGATTCTAAAAAAGCTCTGAGTTGCCAGACAGAACATCAGGTGTAGAGTTGCTGACAAGAAAAGAGCCTTTCTAAGAGGGATCTACCAGTGTGTGTTTGCTGGGGCTTTTGCAAATGGCCCTGATGTTAATTACTGTATCAGCGGCTGAACTGCTTACTCTGGGCTGTCTGAAGGTTTGAATGAGATCTCCTTCTACTGAGGCTGGAGGAAATAACAGTTATCACCAAACTGCAAAATATCACCTAGATTTCTTTTTTTAAGTCAGATCCATTTTTAAAAAAAAAAAAAAAAAAAAAGCATTGCAGCTCCCAGAAGTGTAATTAAATTGCTTAGCTGAACAGGGTGCTGTCTGTGGCCTTTAAAAAAATATCAATTGCAAGGGAAAACCAAAAAGGGAACAAAAAGTAGATTAAAAAAAAAAGATGAAAAGAAAGAGCAGGTAAGAATAATAAGGGCAGGTAAGAATAATAAGAAAGGAGGTTCCTGTTCGTGGCATGGGGTCTCCATTTGCAAGGTGCCAATTATAAATGCGCATCTGGGACTGTTTCATTATAGAGTTGTTATCTTCCCAATAGAAGTTTTGTCTTTCCCATTAGATGATGCTCAAGGACAGGTTTCTACCTGAATGACAAAGTAGTGGTGGGCTTTCAAAATGCATCATATTGTTCTTAGAGACTCTCTTGTTCTTAAGAGACTACAATAAATGGAGTCCTATACAGGGATAAGAAACATACACAGGAGTGTATACATGCATGCATCCGTGTGTGCATACACTTGAGAATGCAAGTGTGAAGGTGTCAGGGAGAGGCATGCAGAGGTAAGTGTGGATGTGTTCCAAAAGGAATGTCACTTCTCTGTAGTGCTGAGTGTGCTTCAGAATAAAAAGTTTCATTGGAGATTAGATTAGAATTTTGCGGTAGTTCACTTCTATAATCCCAGCACTCAGGAGGTTGAGGCAGGAGGCTAGCTGGGAGTGTGAGGACAGTATGAACTGCAGAGTGAGTTCCAGGCCAGCCTGGCCTATAGCATGCGATGCAGAGTGAAACTCTATCTTAAAAAAAAAACAATAATGATAATTAATAATAATAATAATAATAATAATAATAATGCAAAAAAGTTATCCACAGGTACAATATAAGAAAAGTTTAAGCCGGGCGGTGGTGGCGCACGCCTTTAATCCCAGCACTTGGGAGGCAGAGGCAGGCGGATCTCTGTGAGTTCGAGGCCAGCCTGGGCTACCAAGTGAGTTCCAGGAAAGGCGCAAAGCTACACAGAGAAACCCTGTCTCGAAAAACCAAAAAAAAAAAAAAAAAAAGAAAAGAAAAGTTTAAGATGAGGTTCCTAGCAGATTGGCACCTGTTCCAATCTTGGACCATGACCGATGCCATTCCAGATGCCGCACATGAGTTGTTGCATGCCAGCAGGTACTACAGCCTGCTACCGCAGACCACACTGACCTTGCAAATATCCTGCAAATTGATTTCCAGGCCGCTCCTACTCTCCTTGTTGATAACCTTGGCATCCTAGATGAAGATGCGTGCGCAAGACAAGTCAGCTGTGGTTCTTGAATATCTGGGCTCATCAGTGCTCAGAATTACACTTCACCCTCCCAAAGCTCGGATGACATCATCATTGCTGGCCTACTGAACAGCAGCATTGTGAGTCGTCTAGAAGGACAGACTTAAGAACTGTAAGCAGTTAAATGAACTCATCACATGAGCCTATCTCAGAGTACCACTGATTATTGCTTTTCCATATTTTGAAATATGACAGTGGATTATAAGTCTCCACAGTATGGAGACCAGCGATGCACAGCCTTTGAAACCATAGGGCCCTTTGGATTTGTATGTACTTTACCATTTAATGATGGTAAAGTACATACATACATCATTAAATCACTTTACCTATTTTTTCATGAATTTTTTTTGCACAACAATGTCCATTATGTTAAATTTATATGAATGTTGATCACATTTATTCATGCTATGGGCTAAAAAATAGCCCTGTGTTAATCTCACCTGAGATGTCAGACCTAAGTCATGAAATACAAGAAAGATGGCATCTGCTTTACACTTATGATTAGAATTCCCCCAGACACAAACATGTCCACAAGTAACCAGTAAAACAGAGTTTAAATAATCTGAATATATTCCTCAACCGTGGTGTTTTTCTTTTTTTTTTTCCAGGGGAGGGGGGTGGCAGTTCAAGATAGTGTTTCTCTGTATAACAGCTCTAGTTGTCCTGGAACTTACTCTGTAGACCAGGCTGGCCTCAAATTCCACAGAGATCTGCCTGCCTCTGCCTCAGCCTCAGCCTCCTGGAGTGTTGGGATTAAAGGCATGTGCCACCACTGCCCAGCTAACCTTGTTTTTCTTAACAATCTTCTAGTAATAAAAGAAAATATTTTTATTTCTGTTCATTGGTCAACATTTATTCGCATTAGGATTCTTGTCTTTTAGGAAAAACAAAACAATTACCATAAAAAATAAAATAGAACAGAGAGTGCTTTGTTTTTAATATACCCAAGTATAAAGAGAAAAAAATCATCAAGTTGAAAAAGTTTATTGTTCCCTGGCACACACTGACAGTTCAAAGCACAATTCAAATGGTACTCACTGGGAAGCCCAGAGAGGAAAGTATCAGGTAGGGGAACATCTGGTTGAATGACTCAATAATAAGGAGAGGATTTACACATCAAGTTGTCCTGATCCATAAACACAGGACTCATTTTCATTAGGCATTCAGTGAGTAAACTGTAGGGAGTGAGAAGCCATTGGTAGTCCACAGTGATCCAGCTCCATAGAACATTTATTTAAATATGTAAAGCGTTCAGAAACATGAGAGTTTGACCCCTCAAACCAGTAGGTCTTTGTACAGTTTATCTCCCCTAAAGATGACTTGTATGTATTCAAAATTCCAAACCCTAAGCTTCAAGTCTTATAGAACAAAGAGAAGAGGGGATATCCTGCACATTTGCTTGTATGGGGCACAAGTAGGCATCAGTGGAGTTTTATTCACTTTTTATTTCACCAAGCATGAGTGCAGATATGTACTTTTCTTACCAAAGGAGTGGTTAGGGTCCATTTAAGGAGGGTTGCATTTTTTTCTGTCTCTAGTGTATTGAGTTTCTAACGTTTTTGGTAAGTGACCTTAGGAACTAAAAAACAATCACAGACCAGTTTATTGGTTTGCTTACTAACCAAACACCCCCCTTCAACCATGGCTGTTGAAAATTCAAACATAGAAAAGTCAACATAGTATGTGGATATAGCAAATAGCAGGAGCCATCTAAATGAAAAATAACTAGTTATAACTGTCGTGAAAACATCTTTTATCCTATAGCCTCATCTAACCCAAAGCTATTTGTCACTGCAAGCAGCCACAAACTCCTCAAGCTACCCATTACATTTTATGAGGTATAAATTTTATTCTATACTGTGCCAGATATTGCTGAAACCCTTTTAAGCCTCAGCATTCCTTATTCATTAAAATGTACTTGTAAGGGTCCAGTTTACATGTTTGATGTGGAAAGAACAAGCATTGTTCTGATCTACATTATGTCTCATTAAAATTCACCATTTAAACTCTTCATTATGGGCACCTAATTTCTAATAAAAGTATATGTTTGTGAGTATGTATATGTGTGGTTGCTAATTTTCTACACTAAAAAAATTGCCCAGACATTTTCTGTTTATTAGAGGGAGTGCATTATTTCACTTAATTAGGACCCCAACTCTCTTTACAACAATTTGCGATACTTCATTTTGAAGCCACTGACATTTTAGTTACTGTATAATTCTTGTGCATAAACATTGACTCAAGCCACAATCTGCACTCTGAGGTACTGAAGGAATGAATAGGGAACAAACCATGTGATATGAGACTCAGAGTCATATCTCAGCTCCTGTAATAGCTGTCATAGGAGAGCAGATGTGAGATGCTAATGCCTGTCTCCTTGACGTTTTGCAGACGAGGAAGTTTTCCTGCTAATTTATAAACTTGTTGAAGTCATCAGCAGTTACATGCCCAGCTTTTCTTAGGAGTCTTATTAAAAAGAGTATCCTTATTACTTCTAAACAATGATGCTTATTCTGGGCTTACACCAGTTAACATTAATCAACCTGAAATTCAAAGCTGAGTTAAGCCCCTTCTCCACCATTACCTGTTTACAGGATCCAGTTAGAATGTCAGCTTCTAGGGATGGTGAAAACCAACGATTATAGCATTTAAAGGAAAATTATACTGATACCCATGAAAATCTATCCAAGAGCCATTTGTTTCCAATTCTCCAAGTAGAATGTCAGTGGAGAATGCCCAGAGAATATTTCATTAATTTAAAAATATAATAAGACAGCGGAAAAAAATCTTACATGAAAGGGAGTAGAAATTAGAGAATGTGTTCTTTCCAATGTCTTCCCTTAATGCTAAGCTCTTAGGACAGAAGAGATTTTTTTTCATGAGGAAAGGGTTAATGTTATTGCATGAACACATTTCTTTTACAGAATGGTGAACCTTGGGGAAAGCACCTATTTTGAAACATATCTATCTACAAAATATACTTGGGCACATATGACTCCTGCAAGTGTTTAAGTCCATGATTCAATTGGTGCATTCATTTGAAAACTGAGACCCAAAATCTGCAGTCAAAATTTATGAACATTTCATTCCTTCTTCCCCTAAAATTTCCAGCAGGCTGTTACAGTCTGATGTCTGTGGGAGGTTTCCAACTCAGCTGCAAACCCAAGCAGCATTTATAGCGCCTTATTTTGGGGGACCATCTATCTTTTGAAATCCTTTGAAACTATGCCATAGGGACCCTTTGCAAGAATAGATTCTACCTATATCAATCGATCATATCTGAATCAATGCATCAGTTTTAGATCAAGAAGTTTAGAAATGACTGTAATTATGATGAACAATAGTTTTGTGATATTTTCAATCTCCAAACACCATACTCAATAGCTGGGAAGATGCCTCAGCAGTAAAGCTCTTTTCATGAGGGTGTGAGGGCCACACTTCGGATCCCCTGAATCTATATGAAAAGCCAGATAAGCATGGAGGTCCACCTATAGTTCCAGACCTCAGGAGGCAGAGACAGGGAATCCCTGAAGGAAGCTTCCTAACCAGAGTGTTTGGAAATGGTGTTAATATATAAGGTGGAGAGAGATAGAGGAAAACATCTGATGTCAACCTTGAGCCTCCACATGTACATACATGTGTACACATACCACCACATACACCATACCTGTGTCCACACACATGCAAGCACACATACACATATGAAAAATAGTACTATAATCAAAGCAATGGCACATGTTTCCTTAACCTGATTCAAAAGGCCTATTTGTGTTTATAATAAACACCTTTACCATTTTGAGCACAATAGTTTTCCTAAAATATTTTGTAATTTGTCTAAAATAGTTGCTGTTGCCAAACTATAAATGCAAAGGTCACTTAGAGTTTCATTTGTGATATACTATTTAGAAGGCATTGCTTAAGAATAAATAATCAGCTAGGCGGTGGTGGCACACGCCTTTAATCCCAGCACTCGGGAGGCAGAGGCAGGTGGATCTTTGTGAGTTCGAGGCCAGCCTGGTCTACAGAGCAAGATCCAGGAAAGACACAAAGCTACACAGAGAAACCCTGTCTCAAAAATTAAAAAAAAAGAATAAATAATCAATAAATATACTTATTGTGAACTTACTATGCACAATGCACTGTTAAAAACCTGAAAAAGAATTTCAGGGAATCTGCCTACACTGAAAATACCTTGTTTGCCTGGGACAATAACGTGAGAGAATGAAACAAATAATACTGTTTAAGAATATGTGCTTCTGCTGGGCTGTAGTAGTGCATGCCTTTAATCCTAGCACTCAGGAAGCAGAGATGGTCAGATTTCTCTGAATTCAAGGTCAGGCTGGTCTACACAGCAAGTTCCAGGACAGCCAGGGCTACACAGAAAAACCCTGTCTCAAACCCTACCCACCAAAAAAAGACTCTGTGCTTCAAACAAGTCAGCTGTGTTCAAAGCAGCCAAGTGTGCATTTACTTCTGGACTTCAGAGGCAGTGGAATTAAATTCAACCAAGTTACAGGTGTTCAACTAGATCTTACAGAGCTATGGGACTCCAAGTTCAGTCTATAGGACTAATGGCTATACATCACCTGGAAGCTGATTTGAAATGCAAAATCTTGGGCCCCAACCAAGACCGATGAGTATGAATCTCAATTATTTCCAAGTTCCAAGATCATCCATGTACCTACTGTACTTGGGACAGTATTGTTATGGTGGAAGTAATACGGGAGTGAGTGTTAGAAGAATGGGGTGACATTAGAGTCCTAAACAGAGTCTAGGAAAGTAAAGGACCTTAAAAGTGCAATTCAATTTATTTTTGTGTTTGCAGTACTCAAGTATATTTTGTACAGGAAGAGGGAGGTGACTGGGCACAAAAGCACTAATTAGAGAAACACAACCTAAAGACATCACGTGTATATTTTGGGAGTCGTTTGGGCAAGTTCCTTTCTTCTAAAAGGAAAAGGAACTAAAGAGCAACATTCTTTGTGCGGAATAAGCATTGCCAGAGAAAAGCGTGCACATCTCACTTGCTGTGGGATGTTCTGTATGGCAAATGTGTTGCTCTGATTGGTTAGTAAATAAAACACTGATTGGCCAGTAGTCAGGCAGGAGGAAGTATAGACAGGACAAGGAGAAGAATAAAGCTGGGAAGTGGAAGGCTGAGTCAGAGACACTGCCAGCCGCCGCCATGACTAGCAGCATGTGAAGATGCTGGTAAGCCACGAGCCACGTGGCAAGGTATAGATTTATAGAAATGGATTAATTTAAGATATAAGAACAGTTAGCAAGAAGCCTGCCACGGCCAGACAGTTTGTAAGCAATATAAGTCTCTGTGTTTACTATGGGACTGGCGGGCGTCAGAGATTTGTCCTGACTGTGGGCCAGGCAGGAAAACTCTAGCTACACCCACTTATTTTGGAATGGTAAAAGGATGGAGAAAAGTCTCTATTATCTCCCTTCTTTAGTACATGAAGATGGACAGGTAAAGCAACCTCCTGTCCTTCTTAGGATCTTGATATGTCAATGTAGCTAAAATTCTTTCCCAGGGGAAGACTAAAGAACACCTACCCCTTTGCCTGAGATCCTAATGAACTAAGGCATAATACCACCAAGTTCACTCTGGGGGATCCAGGGAATTTATTGGGCTTCCCTATAGACCCTAGGTGAGGGGTCACTCACAGGGATGTGGGTACTCCTCCCCCAACTAGCTGCATATGAAAAGCCTTACCCAGCCAGGATAAGGGCTTCCCATAGTCACAAAGATTGACCCCCCTCTCCAGTCTTCTTGGCTTCTATATACTCTAGCACCCATCCCCCAGGCCACATGCAGAGTT